TCCAATTTTGAAAACAGAGTATACAATCGAAAACAGAACATTTGGTTACACGTTTCGTCTTTTGTTTCTCTCTGTGTTCCGATACGCAAAATCTTCCAGCCTCTGTTCTCCGTTTTCCTTCGACGGAGTTACAAGGCGGAAGAACCATTGTCTCTTGCCGGAAAAAAGAGACCGTAACTTTTCTCTCTTTTTTTTTTTTCCGGTCAAAAGATATGGGAACCGGTGGGAAAACGTCCAACGCTCACGTGATCTCCGCCACGTGGCATCACAAGCACGTGAGTCCTATTGCCGACGATTCTGATCTCCGGAGAGGCATCGGAGAGCTACTTTCGCGGTGGGGCGGGCTTCAGATGGCCGTGAAGAATCAATGGGGAGGTCACGATTCTCTCAAGAAATCTCAAGAGCTTGTTCACCAACTTTTTAATCTCTTATCTCAATCAAATGGTTAGATATGATATTTTTTTGCCCTGTTTTCAATGTCTTATAAATCGTGAAGATGATTGATATCAATTATGATATGAGCAGTGATTACGGTGGAAGAGATAGAGAATTATCTACATGAAAGCTTGCTTCTTTCTTTCAACACAGAGATCGAAGATGGCAGTATTGAAGAGGTACTAATTCAATTTTTAATTGTATTTAAAAATGGTTAGATGATTTGCTTTGTGAAGTTAAACTTTGATCGTGTGATTGATTAGGTAGCTGAACAATTGATGATACTCCATGAAGAGCATTATTTGCGTGGGAGTCATTAAGCCAAACTAAACGGTTTAGATCAATTTTTTTGGTGGACAATGTGATCGTCCCTGAATTTGAAATTTTGGCGGACATGGAATTGTTATTAGTCAGGCATCATACAATATATGAATCTAGGTCTATGTTTATTTGATGTAACCATTTTGTAATTGTGATGGACAGTTCGACTATTTTATTTCATATTAACCGGTAAGCCACTCCATCATGATTTCGGTTATGAACGCTTGTTTTTTGAGAATTGAACATAAGGACAATGCACAATTGAGTCGAAAGAAGATGAGATAAAATAGATCACTCAATGTTGATAAGAATAAAGATAATAACACTTAGGTTTTCGCCAGATCTGAGATTTTTGAGCCCTATACGAAAACAAATTAACATTTTAAGTCCTATAAATTTTACCTAAGTTTTTTTTGAACAAAAACGATTTTTTTGAAAAGTCTTTTGAAAAACGAAAAGTCCTAAACAAATATGTTTTTTTTCCTTTTTATCAGATAATTATATAAAATATTTTACACATAATAATTTGGAACTCACACCATTTATTTTGTTAAGATTTTTTACTAAATTTTTTTACTTTTCTTCTGTATATGTATATATATATACTTTTTTTTTAAATAGGATCCTCATAAATTGGGGTCTTATTCAAATGTTTTACATCAATGCCCTCAGATCCGCCTCCGTTTTCAAGAGCACCTACACCATCATGAGGTCAAATTCCTAGTTATTAGAGCATCTACATTAGAGACATTTTATAGGTGTTTTTAAATATAAAATTATTAAAAGCTGAGTAAAAGGAAGAAATATAGTGTTTTTGGTTGAAATAATATGGTGTATTGAAATATAAAATTAATAAAATTTGAGTAAAGAGAGAAGATAGTGGGTATTTTTGGAGAAAGAATGTCTCGTGGAAGACAAAGTTGGAGAGAGAATAGATGAACGTTGGAATATGTTTAAATATAAAATTAATAAAAGTTGAATAAAAAGATGAAAGAGAATGTATAAAGTTGAGTAAAAGGAAGAGAGAGTGTGTTTTTAATATTTTTTTATTTAGAGACATTCATATTTTGTGTGCAATGTGGATGACCTTAGGACTTGGGGTACAAAGTGTAGGATTTTCACCTAGAAACTAGGGAAATCAACTTATTTATTATACAACCTTGATGAATCAACTAGGAAAATGGGTAATCTAGAGAGCTTTGTGGCATAAAAATGACTGTTTGATGTTTGTATCAGCGTAGTCTTCGAATAAATGATTTCTATCCTACATAAGCAAAAATAATGATCTTCCAATACAAGGGTCCCGGAACAAGATACTCCTTCATCTGGTCAAACAGAAAATATATTTCGTAGGAACTTGTCCAGCTTGTCTTTGTCCACTTATAGGTTTGGTTCTTTAGATTGTTGGGAAGATACGCACCGGAAATGGTTGATTTATTTATCCTATCCAGTTAGACTCTCAGAATAGGCTAAAGAGATGTAATGTTTAACTGCAACGGATGGGCGTAGTAACCAGGGTAGAGGTAAAAGAGGTGGCCGAGACTATTAGTACTTTTGCTAGAATGTTTATAACTTATTCGAAGCGGAAAATTAGGATTTAAACTACACTTTTTCATTATTATAATATCAATTACAAACACATTGCACATCAAAGTAATGCTTTGATTTGAGTAAGGTAAAATATAACGATTGAAGATATTTTGACTATGACTTTTTTTCCAAATAAAAAATCTAAACAATGTTTAAATCTCTAACATAAAGTTTTTTGGAAACAAATTATATAACTAACAATGAACAATACTAGCTAGTCTTGATCCCAAAGAAAAGAACAACAATAGTCTTGAATTTTGGATGAGATTTATCCTTATATGGCCTATTATTATTTATTTATTTTGTCAGAGATATGGCCTAACTAACTCTTCATTTGTTTTGTTGTTATTAAGTAGGTTTGTTCATTTGGAGTTAATCTTCTAATACTATCTATATATGACTCAGCTTATCTGAATTTATTAGATTATGAAAATAAAATTTATTTGTTTGAGATAATTTATTTTCAACAAATGAAGAGACGAATTATAAAATTATCCGAACTATTTGTATTTTGTTTATAGATAGAGAGATTTATATTCTCTATATCCTCAAGACAAAAAACCGTAGCTTTTAGATGTGTCAACCCAAATAAAAAAAAAAGTTTAAGCTATAGACATTTTCTAGCATAGAGATTTGGAGTTTCCACTTAACTTCCAAGACTATATTGCTTGTGTAAAGGGTAAAATGTAGAACGACCAAAGTGGAAGTGTGCCACAAGTGCGAAAATACATAACGAGTACCCATATCCCGCCATGGGAGTATGTATGTGCATTTTGATGTTAGCCGCTACTTGCTTCCCGCAAGATGATATAGTCTTTCATTTGTTATCTCCAACTCCTTGGAGCTGAAGATCGAGGGATAGGTAAAAATAAAGCCATTGTCAGTTTAATTCTCCAGGCTGGAAGGTCGTGTTGAAGATTTCGAGTGTAACATGGATGGAGTAGCGAGACTTGACAGCTAATTGGGATATGTTTGTTGGCAACTCGTTTTTCCTTACTGGAATGTGCTTTTCGGCGATTGTCTGTTTTCTAGAATAATCTAGACCAAATTCAATATTTGGCACGTGTAGAACATGCACCTCAGCATCAACACGACAATAATTGGGTAGCCTCTCTCGTCGGCAGTCCCAGAGGCGGCACTGTCGCATGGGACAAGTCACAGTAACATGAGCAACCTCAACCTCCATCAGAGTTTGAAAAGAGGTATATGTTTCGAAAGAAAAGAAAGCAAAAATTGAGAATCTTGAGAAAAGAATTAAAAAAATATAAAATAAATTAGAATTTGAAAAAAAAGGTCAAGGTTTTTTAAGAGAATGAAAGGAGGCCAAGTAGGAATGTCCTTTCTAAACAAGACTCACGTTAAAAGATTAAAGTATGATTTTTCTTTTTTTTTTGTCATCTGCATATATATAAATAAGTCGAAAGGCGAAACTGGGATGGAGATTACAAGACTCACGGCCTACCAAACCGGAGAAAGAACTGAATCAAGGCTAATAACGCCTATGCCTTTTTTTTTTCTTGTAGTGCGAAACTAACAAGCCTAAAAGCAAGACAACCACGAAGGCACACCATTCAAATCTCCTATTAAAAAACAAATATACCTTAACAAACAAAGGGTAAGGCTTCAATCTTCGGAAACATACCAAAGACGACGTGAAAAGCTAAACAAGAACCACGCCAATACAGAAGCCCACAAATGACAAACCCCGAACTGGCCTGATATGTAGCAACAAGGAGGAAGACTACTTACCGGATGAGACACCAACAGGAGGAAGGCACAACATAATTGGATCCGGAGAGCATAAAGCGACATCAAGCAAAAAGAGACTTGCAATTAACAGTCAAAAACTCTAAAACCAGCCGGACCAAATATTGTAATCTGAAACTTGAATATTGTAATAGTTACAAACCGAAAGAGACCTCATGACCAGGCGAAGGCATAATCCGGTTAGGAAGACAAAGGCAACAACAAGGATAAGGAGCAGGCCTAGCGATCCTCACAAGCGGAGACTGATCTTGAAATTGTTGATGAAAACACTACGAGTTGACACTAATCCAACCCTGTCGTTTAAGCTTAGGAAACAAAGGCTTATATCGCATCTTCAAAAAAAATCAGCCCTGCACAAAGATGATCTAACACTAGGAACCACCACTACTAACCACATACTCCAACGACGGCAACAAAAGCTGACGAAGACCTGAAAGCCAGAAGAACCGGGAACCAGAGAAGCAACCAAAACAACTCCGAAACTTCTTCAAAAGATACTCAACCCAATATCATTGAAGGAAAGTTGTTGATGTGCATCGCCGGTTGAAGATTATTCGGAAAACTTGAAGAGTAATGACACAAGGCTCAAGCCCCAATCCGGCACAAAAGCTTCAAGCCTCCAGCACCTGAAACACCGACGAAATCCAAGGCAACCCCAACCATCACCGAGAAGCCACCACCACTCACAGAAGGCTACAAAACTGGTGGACCCAGAACGGAGAAGATCCAAGGCGAGCCTACGGAAGACTGGATCTGAGGTACAAAACTAACGAGCCGGAAGAAGGGACGAGGTAAAGGACATGGACCTGAATCAATCCTTAATCAACAGGCCAAGACCTACCACTCCACCCACACCCGAAGAGAGATGAAGCTCAAACCAATCGACACTCGAGACGGACCAAACCCGACGGAAACCTATAAAATCGGAAGCCGATACATAAAGAAAAGAAGAAGAGAGACTCATGGATCCTTTTACTGGCGGCGGTGAGAACCACCACACGCAAGAAAAGGAGATCGGAGAAGATTAAGGGAACGGCGCTAGGGTTTTATATGGGGAAACTGCGCCTCTCAAAAGTTGGTGAGATTTCCAAACTATATATGTTTGGATAGCTAAAATTTTAAAAATTACTAAAATAAATTAAAGTTCTACAATACACTCAAAACTTTTCAAAATATTCATAGATTTCTTAAATTTATCTAAATCTTTTTAATATTATTCATGATTACTCGTAAATATTCAAACTCAAATCCAACCATTATCTATCTAGGCAGTGATTTTAATTATAAAATTTCTACTATCAAATCATTTGATCGAAGGAAAATTAGCATGGAAGATCACAAAAAAATTATATCTAATAATCTAACGAAAATGCGGCCAAATCTTAATTATTAAAGTTAGAATTTTTTGTTAGAATATTAGATAAAAAAATTTGTTTGGTTATACCACCAATTGACCCATCTAATACCTAAACATTTCATTATCTAATGATATTAATATTCTTAGCAAACGAACA